TGATGAGTTCTGCCACTGTTGAGTTTCGTAACAAAAACCATAGAAAACGATTAAGCCGTGTCCACGTATTCTATAGAAATTGTCCGCTGTGCCCTAATGGGTTGTCTTTCTTCAATCGATAAAATATGTGAGAAAAGGATATGAATGTGTTCGAGTCTGAAATTCATCGAAACCGTCAGTTATACAAGTTTTTAAAAAAATTATGAATTTCTCCTCTTTCGAACTCAGCATTGTTATCATGACGTTTTCCTAGAACGAATCGCTAGGCACATTTATTTGTTCATTAACGAATACCCACGTAAATTTCATTTTCTAAACGAGTACTTCTTGTTATCGTACATGTGGATGACAAGTGAAATTGCAGCCATTCGATAAGTTCATCTGAAATTGCTGTTGATTGTTCTATATGTTTGACATCTCGACATTGAACTATCAACTGACGAAGATTAGCCATTTTATCCACGAGATCCAGTACACATGTTCGATTTTCAACCGAGATACGAAGTATTTCACATTGTATCCCTAACGGTGAACGACTCAATATAGAACAGTCTTCATTGTTATAATAGTAATTATAGTTATAAAAATCGAGTCGTCGAATCGAAGCATGCGTAATTTTAACTGGTGCTAATTGCGTAGTTTGCGATCGCCATGTTTCAATGCTTAACGAATAGAGATTAGGTGCTCGATCAAGTAGCAATTGTAATTGATCTGGAAAATCTTTGTCATAATTATACCATGATACACAAAGTGAAGTCAATTGATGAAATTTTGGAACGATCATCCACAAATGATTAGTCAATGGGAGATAAATAGTAAGATCTTGAACGTTACAAAAACTAATATGACATTGATTTATGTTTTCAGATATAGAAGGCAAGTATTTAAGTCGACGTACACGATTATAGGAACAATGACATTTAACATGAGGACAAGTCGATTTGAATATGAGAGGAAAATTTACTGTAAAATGCTCAAAAGCATACGGCAAAGTGTATAAATAAATTGCGGCAACATCTGGATCCCAATCACATTGAACAAACCAACGACGTTCTTCAAGCCAAAATCGACTTCGAAATGAATCAATAAGTTCATCGAGATGTTGTTCCCAATTTCTGTCATTCTTAAGTTTTCTCGTTAATTTGAGTCGAAATCGTTTAAGTTTGATTAGATGATCACGAATAATTTGTTCCCATTGATGTCCATCAACAGAAATATCGTTCATTGTTTGAACTGTCAAACTACATAAATTAGACATATGTTGTAAAATGTTTACTATTCTATGTTGCTCTATAGCAACGAGCCATGCATCAAAGTGAATTATCGACGAAATAGTTGACTGATAGATTCTACTATCAGAATCGTATGTGAAACATGCAGAAAGATACCGAAGACGTGGTGTATATTCGATTAGATGAGCTAATTCATCCAGAGGACAACCCATACTTGGAATGATCAGATATTCAAGCGATGAAGAAATTGTTTTTGGCACAAAAAATTCAATCTCATCACGAGAATCTATGTCCAAATAGCAGTAGATCAATTTGGGTAGACTCCAAATCGTGTTTACAACGTTAACTACATCAGTCTGGTTGCATGGAAAATAACAATTGTCCAATCTAAGATAAGTGAGATGAGATAGATGACACCAATCTAATATCATTTTGTTTATCATTGTCATAGAAACAACATCATACAAGTTAAGTGCTCGCAAATGAGTAAAGTGACCAAGAGTAAAATCTTTACGAACAAACTGAACTGTTTGTTGTGAATTGTCGCTATCGGAGAGGCAAAGTGTAGTGATTCTATTGGCAATTGACGGAAGGTATCGTTGACAAAGAATGTCAAGGTGACGTTTTGATACCGATCGTAAGTCAAGTCCATGAACACAAAAGTGATCGAGAAGGAGCATATCAAAGTGATGATTAATGCCATAGAATGAGTGAAGAAGATGAGCTGTGGAGAGATATTGGAACAAATCAAGCAGTAATTCGTTTGCCAACAATTCGAACCTCATTTTCTTTCTTTTCTTATACACTTTCAGTTTTGTATGTCATCTGGTTAAGAAATTCGAAAGACAAAAATATGACACGTTTCTTTGTCGGAGTGACAGAATGAATGAGAAATAAGACATTAATGTTATTTTTCTTTCTGCTTACTTATTATCAGATTAAATACCTTTATCTCTATTCAAATAATAAATAGGAGAAGAGTGACAAGAAAAAACGCTATTTCGTCTCCTCACACCCATACACCTTAGCACATAGTGTGGATGTGGGTGTGAGTATTCTTTCCAGCCACACCCTTATTCTTCGATTTTAAGTCGTACTCCTTATGGTTCAGTTGGTAAGGATGACAAAGAAGATTGTCGTTTCCATACTGTACTAACAAATGTATGAATGAATCGTTCCTGTTCTTCTGTTTCAACACTTCCAGGTCTTAATTGTCGTAATTTATCAATAGCTTCACTAGCTGACATACATGGCTGAGTCCATTCGTGAGCTGTTGGTGTTTGAAAACCATAAATAACTAAATAACAAGCAATCATTGTACCTGCTCGACCTTTTCCCCCACCACAATGAACCAGTAAAGGTGTTTTCGTTGGATCATTTATCAATTGAAAGAATAAATCAACTTGTTCTATTGTTGGTGCTCGATAATTTGCAACAGGAAGATGTGTATGTGAAATTGTTTTATTGAAAAACCATTCTTCAGGTAAAGGATCTTCTTCTGTTAATGTAATAACATGTCGAATTCCAATATGAACAGATGCAAGAGCATCAATATCACGTTCATGTCGTGGAGTAGACATGATTGATAAAAAGAATGGAACAATCCAACGAAAATATCGTGGTAATGAAAACATTACTAAATAAGAACAATAATGATTTTTGCATAGTTAATTTATTTCACTCGATAATTGAAGATATTAAATAAAATGTTCAGTACAATCTCTGTCAAGGATAAAATTACAGTAATGTTATGAGAAAATTTCTGCAATAAAATATTCATTTTTGAGTAAAAACTATGGGTATTATGTAGATCTTCATAGGCTATAAACACCCTGAAAATAGAGCGAATCTTAAATTTATTACTATTGATACACTGGATGATTATGATATTCTTCAAACTCGATCTCGTGATTCGACTGTATAATGAATGTTTCAAATACTGTTGTCGCTTCTATCTCAAGTGATAGCTGAAGTATTTTGAACTGATAGATTTTCTATTATATCATTTCCAAATATTCTACTGACATAATTCAGTGTTATTTAATTAAAAAAATTCATATCTACCTAGATTTTCATTCGTTCGTCGTGGATCAATAAAAGGTACAAGAGGATGTTCACGTGATTTTTGAGTAAATTGTGGTTGCACGTCTGAATAAATATTCATAAATCTCTGTCGAATTACTTGTGTCCATGGTGTGAATAAATTCATTTTTAATTCTTCTGGAACTTGATCGAATTCATTTTCACCAAAAAGACATTCCCATTCCGTGTGAATCGATGCACAACTAAGAATTTTTTTATAACAATAATCTTGAATTTTTTCATTGTCTTGTGCATTAATAAGATGCAGAGTTTGTGCATAAGCTAACATAGCCAACTTATAATATTCATTTCGTCGTGCAATATCAGCTAAACGTAACCAACCTTTTTCCGAATTAGGAAAATGGATACACATTTCTCGTGCATAGATAAATACTTGATCATATTGATCAGAAAGATTATATGATAAAACAAGATGATCAATAGTATTTAAATCAAGATTTTCAAATGAAAATGTTGTACGTAATGAATTAAGACTTTTATCAAGTGTATGATCATCATTATTACTTAATGTTATATGGAATTGTTTACATGATAGACCATATTTTTTTCGAAAGATATTTCCTGCATTCCAAATAATTACAATCCAACAAACACCTTTTGAATCACCACCAAGGCCAAGAGAAAATATATTTCTTGTATCGATTTCCGTTGCATTTTCATATAAACTATCGATTTTATTGGATGAATCTGTTGATAATTGACGTAATTCATCTTTAGTTATTAGAGTTATATGATAAGGTGATAATGGTACTGCAATAATACCAGCTGCAGTAGCGACTTCATTGGCCATACTATCAATACGAGGACCAAATGCACCAATACAACCACGAACATGTTTTATAGATACATCATTTTCAGCCATAATCATACTTTTCAATCACTAAGAACAAAATCGAAAAATGTTTTCTAATTTTATCGTAACGTACAAATTAGAGCTCTAATAAAAATATATAAACATGTTATTTACCGATAATCAATAATAAGTTCGTATCTGATAGCAGAAAGTTTAATGTAATTACTATTGCTTCGAACTGATTGTATGCGTTGGTTTATATAGAAAATCTTCTTGTGTAATTTTGGAATAATAAAAAGGTCATTCATGATGTTATTGCACAAGTTCGATATTTACATAACATAAAACACTACGCATGCTTAATGTCTTGTGCAATAACATATATGTTCTCTTCTCGTATTTATTTGTCGTAAGTACGATAGAACGAAAAACAGAATATGACTCAACTGAAAGAAAGCAAAAATAAAAATTACAACTATTGCCGACAACTTTGCATGCTGCTTTTCTAAGGAGAAAAGTAATTCGAAAATCAATCGATTGATGACATTGATAAAAACGATTAAACCATCGAATTGTTATGAAAACATTAGCAAATCGTTCAATACGATGATCGTCCAATGACATCTTCGTCGCTGTATCAAACTCTATTAAGTTCCATGTCAGACCCGTTCTCCTCGTCTAACTTGTTTTTATGGTGAAATACATTTATATTTATGTGAGAAATATGGCAAACAACGCTTAGTTGGTTGCTTCGATCAAAGTGAATGTGAAAATGGGATTCGGTACTTTCAGGATAGCCGAATTTGTGCACAAAAACGTCAATGTGTGTTTGTCTTCAATGTTTTTATGGAATACGATGTCTATTCAGTACAATAAAACGTCGAGTATAACAGCAAATTTAGATTTTGTGATACAAAATTAATCTCTCGAAAAAGACGTAATCAAGTCTTATCAAACATATTTAGTAGAGATAGTCTATGTTGCTGGATTTGTTTTGTGATGCATCTCAAAGGAGTGTTTGTAAAGGCATATTTAGGAAGAATGACGGAAAATTAGCCAAGAAGAGCATAAGGGAGGGGGTGTGGATGTGGGCATGGGTATGGGTTTGGGTACGTCGTCGATGACTAGAATTACACCCACACGCACATCCACCCTCACATTCTAATCCCAGAGAAGTTGCGCTAACAGTTATTGTTATCGTGAGCCGTTCTCCATTATCCTTAGTTATCCCTACTATGAAGCACATTTCCTGAGGCAAACCGAATAAGTGACCTGAGTTCATTTTCTTTCAAATAATTTTACACATACTTTCCAGCTTATCTTCCAAGAAATAGACCGATCTATCTTTGTTTGCTTTTCTTCTTTTCATCAATCTATCCTGATAGTTACATAAAGCTGTTTCGATAACCAATATAACGCGATAACACACTTCCTGTTATTTCATTCATCTAGTTATTTTGCTTGCATCATGCATCACTTTCTAAGAAAAAACTAGTAGATCAGTATCATTTAATTTACTATTTCTTCATTCAACTATCCTGTTATTGATCCAGGGGTATAGCCGAGGAAGGTGAAAGGCCTGTCTGTACACTTCGCTTGACCGAACAACATCTGGAGGAGATATGGATTAAAAACCTTTTCTAGATACAAGCGTATTAATCGCTGATTTTATCACAAAAATCGAGCAGATGAAGTCAGTTTACTTTTCCTCATATATAATGCTCGTGTTTTGCTTCTTTGTTTAGTTATTCTAGCGATTCTTGCATATTTTATAATGGGAATCTAACTTGAAAGTCAACTTTATTTTTCTTTTCTTTGCTGAGTCACTCTTCCAATTCTGGCGGGTTTAATAAGAGAATTAAAAGCAGATAAGAAATTTCAGTTTTCTTTTCTTCATTGAATTACTCAAATAGTTGCCTAAAGATTTGTCTACGGGTGGATGCTGAGCAGTAGCATTGTCTGAACTAATGCTATTTTTCATACTTGTGTATTAGAATTAAGAAAATAAGATAATACTTTCTTATGAGTGTTAAAAAATTATTTTAATCATTTGGTATTAGTGTTATATGAAAAATTCATTACTAAATACTAATGCAAATGAACAATTTATTAAATAGTGCCAATTTTAAATCAATACTAATACCAAAGTATTAAATGTATTGTTTTTAACACTAATACAAAAGCATTTAAATATTTTCTTAATTCTAATACAAAAGTGTTAGCGCTTTTCGAATACTTATGCTATGCTCAACCTGTAGGAGTGATTCCCCATTGTATTGAAGAAACAGAATTAGTTAATTTAGTTTACTTTTTTTATTTTACTTATCCTGGTAGTTGCCGGAGATTTTATAGAAGCAATAGAATGAGAAAACACACTTTCCTTTTCATTTCATCATTTAGTGTTTGTCAGTATCAATAGCATCCGTCAATTATCAAGCAATCTCGAATTGGTTGGCTTAGTTTAATTTTCTCTTTTCTCTTTTAGTTACTCTTATATTGATCGCGAACTTCATGAAAAATATGAAAAAATTGAGTCTAATGCCTTTTTTTTTCTATTAACAATGTCGGTACTTTCATAGAATGTTCTGAGAGAAATTGTGAGAGCTAGTTCAACTTTCATTTTCTGCTCATTTCTTCAGGTATTCTGACAGGTCATGCGCCTTTTATAATGAACATGTGATTAGAAAACTAACAGCACTTTGGTTTCTTCATTTAGCCTTAGTGTTAGTTCTGGGGCGTTTTTTTTTAGAGCATTACAATCAAACTAATGACTTTAGTTTTCTTTTTCTGATTTAGTTATCCCGATAGTTATCGAGCATGATATTGCAAGAGACCCAAGAAGATGGTTTTGCTTTGCTGTATTGGTTTCGATGATCATTTTTCTGCCGCTTATGAGGAATCGAATGGATCAGTTTAGCTTAATTTTTTCTCGATATCGTTCTGATGATATTTTCGTCGAGAATATCATGCCAAGAATGCAGTAAGTTAGTTTACATGTTTTCTATGTATGATTTGGTTTTCTGATAATTATTGAGGTTTGTATGCAGGATAATAGAACAATAGAATTTACTTTACTTTTGTTTTTATTCGTTTAGTTATTATGAAAATTTTCGCCGTGTTTCCACTGTATAATGCTCATAAAAAAATAGCGGAAGTGGATACATTCATCACACCATAGAAAACTATCGTGTCCGCAGTTATCGCGGTCTGTAGTTTGACAAATGCGTTCTAAATCAACAAAAATACACTTTGCATCTGAATGAAAGGATTGTTTGCCGTTCAATACGATCATGAAATGTATTCTTTTCAGTCGAAACATGCTCTCCTGGATAGAAGCTTTCTTGAACAGTTCCGAAAACTTTTCGAATACTTCTCCTTTCGTTCTAATTGGAAACGGTCAGGAATGAATTCCGTCTAAAGAAGATCACATTCTTTAATGTTTTCTAGTGAAATGCCTAAGAATAGACTCGTCAAAATAATGAAGATATCCCAAATAATCAAATATCCTTCTTGTAAATGCAAGAACATGTTGTCTGTTGTACTCCATGTTTTAAATATATACTTATATTTAAATATCATATATTTTTTTAATATAAGTATATGCATATCTAGTTATATTAACATATGTCGCATATTTTGATATAAATATATATATATATGATAGATTAGTTTGGAATTTAGTTGAGATTGAAATAGCATATTTGTAGTGTTCTCATAAGGGTGTGTATATTGTTTGCAACGATCCATCCTGACATCCACGTCGTTTTACACTGATACCCACACCCTTGAACATTATACTATTGATCAGAATAATGTGGGCAGGATACACCGGATCTGTTTTTAAAAACTTGTGTATGAGTGAAAGTGGT